GGAAAAGAATAGGTCCCACGTAAGGATATTGCAATAATGCATCTGAAAGGTTGAATATCTAGAGAATACATATATAAATATATCGAGGTATGTATGTTTATATATGTCTGGATCTTATAGACCCATTTGCATTTTACTCCTGCTCTAAAATCCCTTTTATACAAAGGATCTGCCTCTCTTCTTTCATGAACTGTATAAATAATCATATTTTTTTCTAAGCACTAAGGTGAGAAAATAGACTTTCCTCTCGAGGAGAATATGTATGCAACTGCCTTGTATGTGTGGCTCTTCCCGGTGCAGTCTCCGTTGTATTTTCCCAAGGCTTTTCATGTGTCTTTAAGTCTCTTACAGTTGGAATAATTCTGCCAGAGGATGCTGGTGATGTGCTAGAAAAATCCAAGGGCGGTTTCTGAGTGTGTGTCCTAGGGAAGCCAGACAGCCCAGGTGGAATATTTGCCATGGGTACCGGAGGGTGAAGCATTACAGAGCTAATATTCACAGCACAATGCCTTTTTAGCGGATATTTTTAATTAGAGTTTAGCCATTGACAGCCAAAGTTCTGCCATATTTTGATACACCACCGTTTTTTAACTGGAAGCTTTTCTTAAAAAAAAAAAAAAAATTATAATTATTTTATAAATAAGCACAATCTTATTTTTGTAAGAAATGTTGGGGGAGGGAGCCAAGAAAGGGGAGCTGGTACCAAAAGAAAGGGAGCGTAGCTAGAGGCACAGTGCCAAAAAACCTCGGTGTTATTGGGATTGTTGGGATGTGGGAGCAGGTGTGGGAGAGCTTCAGGTGCTGCCGTGGGACTGTGGCACTGGCAGTGTGTCCCCACCCCAGGATCTTGCCTGGCACGAGGGATTTTATGGGAAAATAATGTTGATATCCAAGTGCTGGTGGGGCAAGTAGGAGGATGGTGGTCCCTAAAGCATCCTTATCTCCCTAAATCCACACACGGCAGCTGGTGGATGCTGCCTGGGGGCTCAGGGCTGTCTGCCCTGCTCTGGTTTTGGGGGGACACCCCAAAAGCTTCTCCTGTGAGTGCCACATCTGAGGCTGGGATCCTGTTTGCCTCTCCAGATCCCCATCCATGGCTGGATTTGTGGTGTGTGCACCAGCAATGTGGGTTTCCGTGTTGGTACAGGCAGGAAAATTCCCCAAATTCACCCCCAGCCTCTTTTTTCCCCCCTCTGCTGGGGGGTCATGTTGGCACCCCCTCCATCCATGGGATCCTCACCCACTGCCCTGCCAAAACACGGAGCTGGAGGGGAAAAAAAGGGATAAACTGTGGAAAGAAATGCTTGGCACTGCTCAGAACTGGGCAGGGGGGGGCAACTAAACCAGGGCCTCTCCATTCCTCCCCCTCATCCCATTATCCTGAAGCTGGACTGGAGTGTTGGAGTGATGGGGTTGGGATGATGTGTTGGGCTGTGATGGGGCTCACCCCTGGACAAGCAGGAGCGGTGCCAGGGTGCAGGGGGGACACAGAGGTGCCACTGGAGCAGGGGGGACACAGAGGTGCCATTTATTCCCGTTTATTCCGCAGGTGGCCGGGGCGGCTCCGGCGGGGACCGGGGGTGGCCGTGCCCGCCCTGCCCCTCGGGCCGTTCCCCCTGCAATAACGAGCTGTCTGTCTGCACAAAATAGTCCTTTCTGTGAAAGGATCTTCCCGTCGGGGGCGATGGGAGAGCCAGTGACTGTGTTGCAAAAGGAACAAAGAAATAAAAAAAAAAAAAAA